TGTGTTTTTACATTTAGGTCCGTAAAGCATTAGATATTCTAATAGGAAAACATTTCAAAGTGAAAAGTATACTTAAACAGATGTTTCCATGTGCCCTGGGAAGAATTTAAAATGGAGCTCCTCCTTTAATTCAGTAATTAACTTTATGTGTCTGTAAGGGGGGGGTGTGGTTACTGTAATAGTTTACACCTGTTTCAACTTCTGCCGTTTTTATTGGCAGTGGCTTTGCTAACCCGTATTTCTTGTGAAGCAAAAATATGAAATAAAATATGGCAAAGCACTGGAGAAATTATAATAAACATAAAAAACGGATTGTTCAGCTTAAAATATGAAATGCTTTACCTGCATATTTGGCCAGCCATGTTTCAGTAGTATTGAAGCAGTTTCTGGGGCTCTGGGTTGTGAAAATAAAGATAGTCGATTTCATCGGCAGGAACAATCCAAGGTTTTTACGTTCAAGTGGATAAACTTTGGAACATCAGGCAAAAGTCATATTGTAAAGACAGTTTTAAGAAACCTTGCCAAATCATTGTGTGTGTTCATGTTATTGTGAATAAAAAAGATGAGGGAGTCTTAGCATACAAGATTTTGAGCACTCTATAGAACTGTTTTACCGCAGAATATATATCAGACTTCAAAGGTCAAGGCATGCCAGTATAGAGTGTAGTTTGGCTTTTTCACAGGCAGCATTTCACTGTCCAAACATAATGAAACGATTTGGGTCAAGAGATTATCATACCTCATATTTATCCCTGCAACCCAAGTCTCCCTAGGAGACTTCCCTGGAGTCTTCCCTGGGAGAACCTTTAGTTCTTCAGGTCTCAGTAGCTGTACAGCTCTCCTGTTGTGTTGTGTAAAATGACTAGGTCTTTAGTGCTTTGTCCAGAACAAGAATAGCTAAGTTTAACTTACAATAAGTTTAATTTGGATGTGGTTGTGACTATGAAGAACTCTCTGGGAACCTTGTCAGTAGAGCTGAATTTGAACTTTGGCTTTTTCTCACTGATTGGGTGGCTTTGCATATGATGCATGTCAGGGCTGTAAGTTGAATGGGGGTAGGGACTTGCCTATTTCTGTCCGTTGGCACAGAACCCAAATATTTGTGGAAGAAAATAGTGAGCTTTCTCTCTTTTCTTTTCTAGATCTGTAAATTAACATTTAAAATATCTAAGTTTATATTGCAATGACCTAAAATCCCCAACCCACCAACTGTCACTTCTTGGGATGAATTTATATTTCCATTTTGAGGAATTCAGAATTTATATCTCAGATTTGGGTGCAGAAGGATCCTTGTTTGAGGGATGAGAAGTCTTTTGACATGTTGCCTTCCCTTGGTGCGTCTCTGTGACCTTGACCGGTTTGCATCTTGGAGTTTGTAAGAGTCCTTCAGGAGACCCAGCAATGTGGGGATGAAGTAAGGATGTTTTCTAGGAGGTGCAGGGACTGTAACTAACCATAGCTGGCATCGGAGACAAGGGTTTAACCAAGAACCCAACTAGGGTCTTTTTTCAGGGGACTCAGGAGCTTGGGAAATAGAAACATCAGAATTTAAAGAAAATCAGACTTAGATCTGAAGTTTTTTGTATAGTAGTCTTCCTTTGTGGTTTCAGTTACCTATGATCAACTGTGGTCTGAAAATACTAAATGGAAATTCCAGAAATAGGTAATTTTTAACTTTTAAATTGTATGTCAGTCTGAAGAATGTGATGAAATCTAATTGTAGTCCACTTTATCCTCCTTGGGATATGAATCAGATGTTTGACTAGTGTATCCACATTGTATACATTACCCTCTTATTATCACTTAGCCGCGGTCTCAGTTATCAGATCACCTGTCACAGTTTCACAGTGCTTGCACTCAAGTAACCCATATGTAACAACCTAATGCTACTTCACAATATTTGCATCATTCACCTTACTTCATTTTCTCATATAGGTGTTGTATCAGCTCATGCCATAACAAGAAGCATGACCATAGTACAATAGGATTTTGAGAGAGAGAAGATATTCACTGTAATAATTTTTAGTATAGTATAATTGTTCTATTTTACTATTGTTAATCTCTTATTGTGCTTAATTTATAAACTAAACTTTATCATAGCTAAGTATGTATAGGAAAAAACTTAGTACGTACAGGATTTGGTAGTATCTACAATTTCAGGCATACACTGGGGGTCTTGGAACAGATGCCTTACAGATAAGGGGGACTGCTGTATCTACACACTTGGAGTAAAAAGGGCAAGATTTTTTTTTTAACCAATAAATGTGTTATTTCCATTTCCCCACTTGCTATTTTTCAGATCACAAGCTTGCTGAAGGTGTGGGTTTCTGGTTAAGTTTTAGTGCTTTTTTCCTACTACATTGTTAATTATAGTTTGGATCTAACTAAAGAAATTTCCCCCTTTTTATTCATCTGTGATTAAAGGGCCATTCTGTGAGGTCTCTAGTATTTTGGTGGATAGAGAGAATGCAAGAACATTTTGAGGTTGTGACATGATGATTTTGCATGAGCAAAATAAGTGACCTTAAGGAAGTTTCTGTAACGGAATGTAATTGTGTCATGGAGTTGAAACTGATGAATCCTAAGTTGGGAAGGAGGGATGAAAGGGTGATTATCCACTTTGCACGATAGACCTTGGAAAATATCTTTGATTCTAAAAATTTCTTTTTTAAAAAAGGTTTCCCTGATGTCACTAGATTTTTTTTTTAATCAAATTTTCATGGTTTCGTCTGCTAGTTTCATTGCCAAGTAACTGTAGGTGTCATTGAGTACAGCCTCATTTAGCTATTTTTAACCTTGGTCAAACACAGCCAGAGAGTTGGCTGAGTGGAAGTATCCCCAGGGCACTTATTATCAGGTTTGTGTCAGTAGGTTTGGACATTGACTTTTTATCTTGCTGGAAGTGGCTTTCCATTGGAGTCAATCACATTTGCTGGTTTGTTTAGAAGTTCAGCTTTGCTTTTATGGTCCTTTTTTTTTTGAAGCTTTAATATTGATATATTTCCAAGTTAGATAGGGAAAATCATAGGGTAAACCACAAAGAATTTATTTGAGGAGATATATGATTCAGATGGCTCAGATCAGTGTCTGTGTTCAGTTCCTGCTGCTGATTATGTGGAATTTATGCAAAAATAAAATTAAAACAGTATTGACATTATGGATTAGCTCCTTTTGCTGCTGTAACAAATTACCAAACGTCTAGTGGCTTACCATGTGAATTTATTATCTTTTGGTTCTGGAGGTTGGAAGTCTGAAGTGGATTTCATTCAGTCGGCTGAGGTTGAAGTGTTTAGCAGGGCCCTGCTGCCTCCTGGGACTGGAGGAGATAATGCATTTCTTTGACATTTCCAGTTCTGGAGGCTACTTATATTCCTCTGTCTCTAAATCTTGTTCCTTTCTGATCTCTGCATTGTGGTCATCTGCCTTCTTCTCCACCTCCTTTATTGTCATAAGTCACCTTGTACTCTGACCCTCCTCCTTCCTTACCATAAATGTATGATAATTTGGGATAATTTGGGGCTATCTTCCAATCTCAAGATCCTTTTTGCTATGGAAGTAACATATTTACAGGTCCCAGAGATTAGCACATGGACATCTTTGGCGGGTCATTATTCAGCTCTGCCACACATTAGAATACAACGCCTTATTCTTTTCCTTTTTAAACTGTTCTTGGAAATTCCAGAAACATGCGCTCTGTGCTTTACTGTTTGATGAAAATGTTTTGATTAAAAAGTTTGCATTTTCTACACAATTGTAGAAGGCATTTTATATTTAGCTGTGAAATTTGATTTGACTTAAAAAAGAATTTAAATTTTAGTATTTGCTACTTCTTTGAAGATACAGAGAATTTCTTTGGGTTTTGAATTCTCTACCTAATATCACATCAGATTCATAGTAGGGACTTGTCAAAACTTGCTAAGTGACAAGTATGATTCTTAAGTGATTGATCTCCCATACTTCTTGGCTCTTTAATCATTTAAACAAGTGCTGTGTGCACATATGTGTGCATGTGCATGAAAAAGTGCATACTACCCTCCATCCACGTGCCCTGCTGCAGCTTTGCCCGGCAGGTATTGCGTTACGATGTCTTCTAGACTTCAGTTTGTAGTTCTTGCTGCAGCCTCTTTCCTAGTATTTGCCAGGGAGTAACTTCTGCAGTTAATTACTGTTAAACCTTACACCAAAATCAGAGTCCTGTTTGGTATTTATTGTCAGAAGGATGCAGACTGAAGCTATTGCAAACAAAATGCTACTGGCTTTTTGTCCCTTCTCTCCCTCAAGTCAGCCTCTCCGACCATAATCACAAATGAATAAAAAATGTCCACGGAACCACAAGACATTTTAAAGGATAGGTGAAGAATTTGTTTCATCTTGTATATACAGGCTGTCATTCAGATATAAAAATATTTAAATGTAATAACCTTTTAATTAATCTCCCATGTAATAACCTTATAAATAATCTCTTTATTCTTGGCTACTACCTTCACTATTATTATTACTGTTTCCTATGCTGTTTCATATATGTGAATGAAGGAATGCATTAAGGCAACTGAAATCCAAATAGATTATGTGGTCATTGTAAAGCACAAACTTGAACTAGCTCAGAAGTAGGCCGTGTTGGATGAGTCACCTCTTGATGGGGCAACCTTGTGCCTGGGATCAATTATGGGTAGGAAGTGTGTGGAGCACTGTAGCCGGTGACTTTGGTCATTACATTTGTTCATGTTGTTCCTTTTCTATGAAAGGATGGGCTCACATTTATCCCAGTGTGGAAATAGACACTTCTGAGCTTTTCAGAGTCTTCACATAATCTAAATGTGTAATTGATAGGTATTATATTTAATTATCAACTGTGGATCCCAGATGAGGCACTGAGCTTTGGGGTTGCAAGGATGGCATTATTTTAACCTTTGTACTCTCAGTTCTGATATTCAAGAGTTCTTTGAATACACAAATTGAAAAAATGAAAATATTTTAAATGTATACATTTTTATTTACAGCTGCAGCTGAAGGAAAAGGCAGAAGTGGGGAAGACTTTTTTCAAAAGGTAAGTTGCATTTTATTCTTGCCTTGGGGATAAGTAAGGGAGACATCCCTGTCTCAACAGTTACACTAGACATCCTTGAGCACTCCCTTTCCATACAAAGGAGCGTAAGCTTCAGTCATTTAGCTGGAAACAGTGCAGGCAGGTAAAGAAGGGATACTGCATGGGACTTGACCATGACACAAGGCTCCTTCCATGGTAAGTCAACGGAAGGGTTTCTTTGAACACGAGGAGGCAGTGAAGGCTGCCAGATTAATGCCTCACACCAAACTCAACACTGTGCTGTTCTGATTATCTTCTGTTACTGTTCCCCCTCTCCTCCTTCCCCAAACATGTTTGACCTAGGAGTTGGAGAGGAATTCCTTATAGTTTTCCTTTTTTCTGGTAGGCATCACTATGGGCAAGGTGGCATAATTCATGAAAGGTGCTTCTATGGACATACTTGCTCATGATCAGTCACCATGCCCATTCTGTCCCTGCTGCCTCCTGAAAGTTCTAACCTTAAAAGTGAGACTGATTGGGCTAGTCATATGTAGCAAGGGAAAAGAACAGCAGGAGCTGATTGAAAATTATTACAAGACATGATAAATGTAGGGTAGTTGATGGATTCTAGCTCTGTTTTTCAAACTGAGTGTTTTATACAATGGGAGAACGCTTTCATTTTGAAAAGATTGGCATGAATTCACCTTCTTTTGTTTAGTTGGGTTTATTGTATGTATGTCCTTGTGTTGCAATCTGGAGAGCACATACAGAAAAGCTGTTACACAAGTCTGATAGAGGAAAGGAAACAGTGATTTATACATGGGGTTAAGTAACACTTGAGAGTGGTGTCAAGGGGATACCCCCATGTGGCACCTAAAATTGTCTGCATTCACTTTCTTTCTGTGACCTAATTTTTATTTTTTGTCAAATTTGTCATTCATCTGCATTTCCTTTCAAGGATACTAAAAGCAAATATTGTCAGAACTGATACTTACATTGTCATTTCTTCATTTTGAAATATTTATTTACCATCTGCTATGTGTTGCACACTGCAGAGACCAAAATGAGCTGGGCAGATTTCCTGCTCTAAAGGAATATGTGATGTCTGGTGATGCAAGTCACATAAATAGACAGCAGGAGAGTCTGGGCCAAAGAGAATTAAGCCCTTTTTTGGGATTTGAGATTTTAAGAGGTTAGCCAGGGTTTCTTTAAAAAATGTTTTTTGGCAGTACTGGGGTTTGAACTCAGGGCCTCATGCTTGCAAGGCAGATACTGTACCATTTGAACCCTCCACCAGCCCCAAGGTTGATAGCTCTAGAAGATTGAAGTTAACCATGTAAAGAATAAGGTTGAGTGGGCTGGGAAGGACATTCTAGGCAAAGAAGCAGTGTAGGAAGGCTCCAAGGTGTGTGAATTCATGTGTCACTACAATTCAGACATTTGGCTGGCATAAGACATGTGAGGGTTTCATAGTGTTAGATGAGGTACACCATCCTTTATGATGAAGAGCCTTCCTTGCATGAGGAAATCCTCCCTAAAAGGATTTAAATTAAAATAATGGATTGTGCTGTGCTGTACTGTGCCGACCAAATAGAATGTGCCACACCACCAGTTCTCTACCTCTACTTTAGGCTTCTGCACCAGAAGTTTACATACTGTGTTTGAAGCCCCTGACGTGGCATTATTGGATACCAGTTAGTATCCAACCCATACTTAATACTGGAAGTTTAGTTGGGGCAGTCTTGCCAACAAAGACAAGAGAAGACAAATAGCAGGAATCATAGATCTGCCCCTAGTTGGCTGGTATGGTACAAATAGATGCTCTCTGTGGAAGGATTTTCTTCACTGTTCCTTTTTAACTCACAGATATGTGTAAAAGGCACACAATTTAGTTTTGTGTGATTCAGACATTTGAAAAGCTGAGCCAAAACACAGTATATATGGTCATAAAGGAGTTTCATTCTTAGAAGATTTGCTAGTATTTATCACCCTTTGTGGAGCCATATATACATTCCAGCAGCTTAAGTGGAAACACATGTTTGAATCCAGGAACTCATGTACATCCCACAAACTATAAATTGGAATTGCAGATTCTATCCTTGGTCCCAGATTAATTAGGTCTCTGAATATTTAAGTGGGAATAATTTTTATCTCCTCATATTCTTTGGGTCAACAGAAAGTGTCTTCTTAATAGACAGGTGCCCATATAGCATTTGCATATTCATCCTGGAAAAAAACCAACTTAATAAAAGGCAAACATCTCAGGTTCCAGTGGAGCAGGGTTCAGTGTTTTAATTGGACGGAAATAGATATTCTGGTTCATCTGCAATAGAATAATGTGATGGAGAAGAATCAAATTGTCCTCCGGGAACTTTTGTCTAGTTACACATATTCTAGTTTCACATAATGACATTTTGGCAAACAGGTAAGAAGAAATAGGCCACATTGATACTCAGAAGAGTTTTGAAGAAATGCTTACTCCTCCTAGAGTAATGCAAGTATGAAGGACCTGTATGCTTATTATTGGAATGTTTTTCGATCTTGGCTCTGGGATTATATGCTAAACAAAAATTAAAACCACTCTTTAGGGGTAAGGGCATGGCTTAAGTGGTAGCGAGCATAAGGCTCTGGGTTCATTTCCCTCTACTGTGGGGTTGGGGTGGCTTCTCTGTAGATGAGTTTCAAGTTCAAATACTCTTAATGATTTCAAAAACATTTTTCAAGTCTGAAGGGGTCCTTCCTCTACTTCATAGTGGCTCTCCCTGAGGTGAGGATTAGAGAAGCATGAGACATTTATATGCTACTTTGTTTTTTGTACCATAAAATATATATGAAAGTCATACCGATATGATTATACTAATTAAATTACACTAAATTTAGCTAAAGTAATTATTTTCATTATCTTTCCAAATTAGAAAAAGATTAAATACATCATTCAGAATAAGAATTAGTTCATTTTCACAAAGAGTATAAATTTAAGTAAGATTGTCAAATGTATTGTCTTAAATTTGAAGTTATACTAGTAACTTCATCTTCCTACATACTGAATTTCTTCCAGAGTCAAAATTATTGGTTCTTCCAGAGATCTTCCTGGTTTTCTGTACGTTGTTTTACTGAACGTGGTTGGAATGCTTTATGTTCCTGACACTCTGTTAGGGTAAAAGGCTAAGTAAGCAGTTATAGCAGAGAGACCCAGCAATTAGTGGCTTAAAGAATAGCCTTTTGTTTTATTGGCCTGTAACATTCTAGGGAAAGCATTCTAGTTTAGTAGTAGCTTAAAGAGCCAGGTTCCTTCTGTGACATGGCTGGACTGTTCCTTAAAGCATGGACCCCCTCTCCAGATCAAAGTTAGTCACTAACACATCCAAGCATGAAAGGGTGAGAGTAGTGAGGAGACGCATGTCTTGGTCTTAAGGTCTAGGCCTGTTGTGGGATATGTCACATGCTCTCACATTTCCATTAGAGAAAACCTGACTGCAGTAAGAAGAGGGAGGCAGGAGCTGGAATATTTGGAGAAAAAACCCATTGATTTTGTAATCATCATCCCCCAAAAGCCAGATTGCAAGGAAAACAATGTTATGTGGGCAGAGTGTAAGTGTAATGTCTTTACATGTTATACTTTGAAACATTTTATGTTAGTTTGTTAAGGCTGCCACACCACAAACTGAGTAGCTTAACAGTGAGCAATTTACTGTCCTGCAGTTCTGGAGACTAGCAATGCAAGGTCAAGATGCCTACAGGGACCAAGCTTCTGAGGACTGTGAGAGATGAACCTGTTCCGTGCTTCTCTTCTGGTTATTTGCCGGTCATCTTTGGTGTTCCTTGGCTTATAGAAGCACCTTTCAGACCTCAGCCTTCATCATTGTGGCATTCTACCTGTCTTTGTATTTCTGTGTCCAATTTTCCCTTTTCGTAAGGACACCAGTCATACTGGATTAGGTGTGGTCTCATCTTAACCTGTTACATCTGCAATGACTCTGTTTCCAAACAAGGGCACATTCTGAGCTCCTGGGTTAGAACTTCAACGTACAGATTTTTAGAGGACATAGTTCAGCCTATATCACTTTTTAATGGAGGAAATGATTCTATAGAAAAATTTACTAAAATGTAAATGTTATTTATCACATTTGGATATTCAGTTTGATCTATAGATTTTAACTGCCTAGTCATTTATACTGTTTGGCATTTTTCTTATTACAAGTCATTTCTAAATTATCTAGAATGAATGTATAATTAACATAAAAGAGGGAAAAAAGTAATATGTAATCTCATAGGTTACTTTGAAAGAACTGTTTATATACCTTTAGTCTTTTCATATAAATATATATATTGATATTAAAATGATTTTTAATATTCTCCAGTACTTTACTTCTTATTCTTTGGCCCTGTCTACACTTAAAAGAGAGAGGAATGAATACAACTTTATCAGTATTCTCTTTAGTTCTTTGTCCACTTGTATGGCAACTCTGCATAATTGAAACACATGGAACTGATCTTCCAGGGTTTTTTTGGGCAGTTGTTCATGGCTTACTCACTGTCTGTCCTGTTTCCTTTTAATCACTCCTTTTTTCTTTCCTCTTATGAAAATGATTATGATCAGGTCTTGGAGGGGAAAAATGTGTGACAGTATATAAGGTGGAGATGGGTACAGTGATTGCATTACAAGCGTGACTCATCACAGCCAAATGCTTTAGCAATATGTAGTCCTGATGGCTGAAGAAGACAAAATCCAGTGAGTATCATAGTGGATGAAAGCCAGGTTTTTCTCTGCATTAAACTGTGTAAAGGTCCCCCTCCCCCAACACATAACATACTTTACATGAAGGAATATTTTTTACTGTTAAACATATTGGCTGTTTCTTTGGAAAACTTTGTTACAAGGGCTAACAGTATGCCTAATATAAACAAGATAATGTTTGGTGGATTATGTGATATATATTTATCAGTCTCAAATTCATGCTTTTTAGGCAAACAGTACTTTTGGTGTTTTGAAACTAGAAAGTAGCAAGGGTGGCCTTCTT